TAAAAAAAAAAAAAAAAAAAAAAAGTAGGATAAGAGCAGCAAGATACGAGAACCTACAACTGCAGGCTAAACAAGAGAATGTAACGGTCAGGCCCCACTGTTGCTATGTTCATGCTGGGAAAGCATGAACCCTAGCTGTAATAGCGGTTAGGTTCGTGCTTTCCTAAGATGAACATAACACCAGTGCCACCTGACCCCAAGAGTGCAGGCAACGCCTGCAATCAACAGATATTATAGTATACTCGATGGGACCATGATCACTGAAACTTAAGGAGGAATAGAACTAGCAATGGAATTTAGTGTGCATTTCGTCCACCCCCGAAGAAGTGCTCAATGCTCAATGCTCAATGCTCATTGTGCTCTTTGGGAATTTGATGTTAGACTTGGTCACTTGGGTATCGAGCACCGACGAGCAGTACATATTTATTATATCACGGAATTACTAATTAGTAAAATTACCATGCAAACCACAGCGGTCGTGAACGCTTCCAGAACCTAAAAAAAAAACTATCATGTGCGCGTCCTTGTAATTTTGAACACTATACCAACCAACTAACATGCAAATAGGTACTAAGAATGTGGTCAACACCACAAAGAAAAGGAAAAATAAATTAAAGGATAGAAAACTGTTCATGACTATTTTTGTTGATGACACTTCGGAAGAAGAAGGCATCTTCATTCAACATAACTCAAACCAGATCAAGTCGCACCACCCTCAAGGAGACAACACAAAAGGCAAAGAGGAGGAGGAGGAGGAGGAAGAAGAAGAGGAGGAGGAGGAGGAGGAGGAAGAAGAAGAAGAAGAAGAAGAAGAAGAAGAAGAAGAAGAAGAAGAAGAAGAAGAAGAAGAGGCAAAGAGGAGGAGAAGCAGCAGCAGCAGCAGCAGCAGCAGCNGAGGAGGAGGAGGAGGAGGGGGAGGGGGAGGAGGAGGAGGAGGAGGAGGAGGAGACAAGGAGGAAGAAGACAAAGGAGAAGAAGAAAATGATAACCAATGCAAGATTAGAAAATTAGTCTCCCGAACGTAGCTTAGTGCATGGAAAAATACATCGAAGAACAGTGAACGAAGCAAGTTAACCGTGGCATGAGCCAAGCGGTTTCTTCTGGCTGCCACACCAGCCCTGTGGGATGATGTTGGTGATGGGAGTGAGGCAAACATCGAAGATGGCAGTGAGGCAACAACAAGGAGGAAACGCCAGAAAATCGGGGAGATCTTCACTCCAATAGATAGAGAAGTCATTCTGACAGATGAACCAAGAACAAGGATCCTTCTGTCCAAGTGTTTCGCGGATCATGGTGCACATTTCCACAATTTTCCGGAACGATTGAACCAATGCATGGGAAGTTTGTAGCAGAGAAGCGGGTGAGAATCTTGCAAGTAGAGCTCACCACAGCATGGTTGGAGCCTTGGAGGAACGAGCGAGTGGTCATGGCGATCTTCCAAGGAGCGGCGCGGATCCGCCCCGTGAACGTAAGGGGGAGGAACGGACAAGAGCGCGTACTTTGATAAAATGGCTTCTACCGCCAGCGCCTCTTCGCCCGGTCGGTCAAAAGAGGCAAAAGGGCCAAACTTGATGACCGACATGTCATAGCCATGACAAGGGAAGTAGCGCAGTCAGTGTGGCCAATCGCGAACTTGAAAGCGGATGACAAGGTCGAAGCAAGGGTAGTCGAGTAGCGGATGCTGTTCAAGCCTTGGATGACAGGAAAGGAGCTGGAGGAGGGACGGCAGATAGAAGAAAAGAGAGCAAGTTTGGGGTTACCACTCTCAGAGTGCTAGCATGGTGACTTAAAAAGCCGTCCCCCCCACGGACCCAGGACAACCCATAAGACCACACCCACCCCCGCTTTCCCAGCATCTCTTATGGGCAATGTTTCATCCCAAAGAGATGCTGGGAAAAGGGGGGGTTGGGTGTGGTCTTAAAGATCGTGCACAAGGGCGTGGATCCTTACAGACCGAAACTGATGAATTTGAAGTTCAACCTCATCCAAGAGGCAGAAGCCATGTTTTTTTTTACGCCAGAGATTCCGACGATGACGGGGAGATTGTTGTGACTTTTAAACCCGCGGTTTTAGCGGGCCTAACTTGACAACTTGAAAGCTACTTTCCAAGGCTCGCAAGCCTGCAACTGCGCCTTTTCACAGTGGCCTGCCGCGTTTGATACCGGCGCAGACCCGAATCGAAATGCTCTAGATCCATCCTAAACTTTCGCCCCCACAAGTACATTACATGTAATTCATGAATGTATGAAGGCCACGAAGTGGGAGAGGCAGGATTCGAACCTACGTAGAAATATAACCTTCAACAGWTTTACAGTCTGTCGCTTTTAACCACTCGGCCACTCTCCCGAAGAATTCAGCATCCTACAGGATTTGAACCTGTGACCTTCAACTTAGAAGGTTGTTGCTCTATCCAGYTGAGCTAAGAATGCAACTCACCCAAAAGAGTCAACGCAGCCGCCACAACAAAACAAGCAGCTTATTTTAATTCAAAACATCTAAATCTATATGGTATGGAAATTGAATTTGTTGAGGTTCATATAACAAAACAGCCATCAATGTTTGATAATTAACTTCTAAATGAGATGGTTTGTTTTTTAAAMTKCGGTTATATCTTATATTTTGTTTGATGGTTGACTTGCAATTTTGTTGAATAGAAATAAGATCACCACTGGAAACTTGAAAGCTAGGCCGAAGGATAATTTGATTATTAACACAAATATTTACATTACAGGAGAAAAGGGATTCGAACCCTTAACCTATGGTTTTGGAGACCATTGTTCTACCATTGGAACTATTTTTGGCTAAAGTAAAAAACAGGAAAATAGTAGAGAAGAGAACTGCCCGGTAAACCGTAGGCAGAGAGAGAGAAGAGGACAACAAACGAGGGGCTGTGACAAACTGTTTCGTATATCGTCAAATAGAACTGCCCGGTAAACCGTAGGCAGAGAGGGAGAAGAGGACAACAAACGAGGGGCTGTGACAAACTGTTTCGTCGGAGTTTCACCGACTCATCAGGAGGCTGAATATATATATATATATATATATATTGTCAAATAGAACTGCCCGGTTATATATATATATGCGGGTAACTTGCGGTAAGAACACTACTTAGGTTTGTGTGAACTGGCCGTTTAAACCAGCTATACTTTTGGCTGGCTGGTGCCGCCGGCCATTTTGCTCTGACAGCTGACCTCCGAAAGTTGCGGTGTGCATGCAGTCGCGTCGAAAAACAAAACAACGGCTGGGAAACGCACTCGTGGTTGAAACTTAGTACGTATTACGTAAAGAATACTCCATGGTGTAAAAGTTGTCGCTGGTGGTTTCACACGGCTGCAAGTGGCTGTCCAACGCTTGCAGAGACCAAGTGGTGTGAGTGTCCGAGTCACCTCGCAACTTCAATAATAATAATAATAGAGGGCATGGGCCACAGGAGTCGGAAGGGATCCTTGAAGCTGCAAGAGACCAGCCCATGGAGGAAGGAGCCCACTCCACAGCGCGCCCTTTTGCCGCATGCCTCTTGCTTCATTGTTGTTCGTTTGCCACTTCCTTCACAGCCTTGTGCTGCTTGTCAGCGTTATACTTGTACTGGTGCTGTTTTCTTTTTTTCGGGTGCAACAACAGCGATTTCGTCAAAAGGACATATTTTATTTTTTGAACGAAATTGAAAATCCAAGCTGGGGCCAAAATTTGATGAAATTCCAGGTACGGCGTTCTGAAACACACTAAACCCCTCGATGTATCTGGACTCAGCCAAGTCCAAATACGTCCAGGGGGTACAGCGTTTTCAGAACGCCATACCTAAAATTTCATCAAATTTTGGCCCCAGCTTGGATTTTCAATTTCGTTCAAAAAATAAAACATGTCCTTTTGACGAAATCGCTGTTGTGCAATCTGTTTGGGGGTAGTACCTGAAGGATTGTCTTTGGACTCGACTCACTCAGATGGTGCATGGTCCTTCATCATGCTGGGGCCCCCTGGACGTACCTGGACTTCAGCTGAAAACACCCTTAGCTACCCCCTGGACGAATCTGAACCTGGACTGAATTCTCGTCCTGAGGTGTTGTGGTGGTATGGTGTGCATGGTCCTTCACCATGCTGGGGCTACCTGACATGTATTTCACACACATCATCTGCCACACACATCATCTCCCACATACATCATCTCCCACACACACAATCAGTTTTATGTATGTTTTCCTCTCTTTTGTGTCTACGTGCTCACATTGAGGTACCTTGTGTGTCTAAGGGTGCACCCCCAAGAAGTGCTAAAGGTGGTTGGTTGTCTCGAGCGCCTGCAGCACGAGTACGGGGGCTGCTGCCGTTCAGAATGTCTGAGGTGCATGGTCTATGGGTGATGACAGACGCTCTTCGAAATGCCTCGCGTGCTCATAGGGTGGTGGATACCAACAGTCTGCAGGGTTCTGGTCGTGGCATAAGTGGGCGATCGACATCTTTGGTCGGTGTTGGATGCGTGGACTGCTTTGTCTATATGCTCCTCCGCTGCGTTGCTGCCCATCCTGCTTCCCACGCTTTTCCTTGCAGCCGTTTTTTGTTCGCCTTGCAGATTTTTTTGGTGTTGCCGTGTACTTCGCTGTGCATTGTTGCCTTGCTACCCTCCCCATATGCCTTGTCTTTTCATGTAGTGTGTTTTGATTTTCCACCACAACAGCCCCTATTCCACCCAGATGAGCATGGTATCCCAAATCAAGTGTAATCAAAACATATTTAATCCTACTTCAGTCAGCGAAAAGCTCTTGATGTCAGACAACCCAACAATGTCTGTGTGTTTTGTAGTCTGCCGTACATGGACATCCAGTTTCGAATGGGCTGCGTCATGGACTCTTTCAACCCGGCTGTTAAAAGAGGAGGACGAACTGCAGCACAAGCAGCTCAGAAACGAGACCGTGAAGCACGCACTGTACAGCAGCTAAGCAACGAGACCACGACGCACACACTACAGCAGCACTGACGAAGCTTGCCTCGCCCTGTCTTCCCATATGTCATACATGCTTACCCTGTTTTGTAGTCTGGCTGCTTCGTCAATGCCACTGTGCGCCTCTCGGTCTCATTGCTTAGCTGCTTGTGCTGCAGTTCGTCCACTTTTAACAGGGGTTAAAAGAGTCCATGACTCAACGCGTCGATATGGGGATTTCACAGATAGTCGAGGAATCAACCTCCTGACGAGTCAGTGCAACTACAAAACAGTGTGTCGCCATGCATGTTGTTCTGTTTTTCTTTTTGTAAAAAGAAGCGCAACGGCCTTGAATTATCGCTATCGAGCTGACTGGTCCAAGGTAGATAAGAACTGTAGTATTTTAGTCATTTGCTCTCAGTGGAATTCGAACTCTGCACCTGGTCTGTATTTCAACAGTTCAGTTCAGGGGGGGTGTACCAACTGAGCTAGGCGATTTGGTACCATGCATGTTGTTCTTTTTTCGTTCCTCGTCTTTTTGGTACTTCTCTTGTCTGCTGTTTTTCTTTTGGCCTTGCTGTCTTTGCCTTCCTGCCTTTCGGCTTGCTGCATTTTCCCTCACTGCCTTGTCACGGTACTGTTTGTATGTCCACCCTCCTCCCACATGCCCTCCAACCCATCTGCCTTGCTGCCGCTTGTCATCCAATGCCTTGTTGCCCCCTGTGCTGCCTTTGCCTTGCCTGCCTTTTGGCTCACTGCCTTTTCCCTCAATGCCTTGTGCTGCTGCTTGTATGCCCTCTCTCCTCCGTCATGCCCTTCAGCATATATGCCTTGCTGCCGCTTGTCGTCCAATGCTTAGTTGCCTCCCTTACCCTTTACTTCCGTGTCCATTGCCTCACTGTTTTGCCGTTAGGCCCTGCTTGCCTGGTTGATTAGCTTCTGTTTGCCTTGCCGTTTTTGCCTCGCCGCCTTTGACAGGCTGCCTTTTTGGCTCATTGCCTTTCGACTCGTGTCTTTTTGCCTCGGTGCTTCTGCCAGTGTTGTTTGTCCTTCAGTCTTCTTCGTTTTTTTACCTTTGCATGACGACATGCACTGCGTTCCTTTCGTGGGCATAATGCCATGGTGCGGAAGCTTTTTTGAGTCATGTCGATTTGAGCATGCTGTTTGATGCGACATGCTTCGGTATGGTCTCAGAAGATTTATCCCCACAAACACACAGACGAACGAAAACACAATCAGTTTTCTTTTAGAGTTTCGGAAAAAAGTGGGTTGGATCCGCCCGCGAGTGGGTAGCCGAAACAGAATGAGTTCATATAGCCCATCGACTATTCCCATCTTTATCGAGAGAGAGACGCCAACCTTCTCTCGGCTCAGCAAACACACACAAACACAATCATACTTAGGTATAACTTCTCTCCCTTTCTTCTCATTCCAAGTATTTTCTTTATGTTGTCCACGTTGTACGCTCTCTGGGTTTTCCCTGTACCTCTCCTGCGTCCAAGTGCAGCACCTTCAAGATGTGCCAAATAGTCAGTGCCTGTTTGGTTGGGGTGCCTGCAACACTACCATGGGTTAACTATGTTCATGATGCCTGTGCCTTCGTGTTCCTTGGTTGATGCCACATATTCATCGGAGTGACTGCCTTTGTGTGTGTGTGTGTGTGTGTGTGTGTATATATATATATATGTATATATCGTCACAATATATATATATATATATATAGGGTTCAGCCTCCTGATGAGTCGGTGAAACTCCGACGAAACAATTTGTCACAGCCCCTCGTTTGTTATCCTCTTCTCTCTCTCTGCCTACAGTTTACCGGGCAGTTCTATTTGTGACGATATATATATATATATATATATATATATATATATAAACATATATATATAACATATATATATATATATATCGTCACAAATAGAACTGCCCGGTAAACTGTTGGCAGAGAGAGAGAAGAGGACAACAAACGAGGGGCTGTATATACGTCGGAGTTTCACCGACTCATCAGGAGGCTGAACCCTGAACAGTCTGCAGAATCCCTTCACTGTTTACACTGTAAATGATAATCTACCTTAACCAAAATCAAAGTAGACTATCACTCACCCACACCAGATGGAAAACTCTACAGACTGTCGGTTCACACATATATAACTGATCAGAACAGATACTACACTTGATCTAAGCCAAAGGCCGAGAAAGGTATTGTAGAGTTCTACTTAATTTGTGGGTAGGTGATGTTCTGCTTTGGCCCTTGCTGTATGAAGGGGCTGCATTGTTGTTGCCTTGCTGCATCTCCGCTTGCAGTGTGTTGTTGCCTTGCTGCATCTCCCCTTGCAGTGTGTTGTTGCCTCGTTGGTGATGCCCCACAGGCCCCCACCGCCTGGCTACCCACGTATTTGTGCCCGCCAACACTATTAGGGGGTTGGCTATGGTTGTGATGCCTGTGCCTTTGGATTCCCTCATAGGGGGTTGACACACATTCATAGAAGTGACTCCATCCAAGCAACTCCCTCTCCCCAAGGGGGGTGTGAACTGCCCGGGCGTGTTTGGCAAGGCCAATCCGCTACAAGATCGCACAACGTCTTCCCTCGTACAGCGACGTCGAAAATCGTATGTGCCAGGACATTGAGGAAACCAGGCCACGAAGTGGCAACAGCATCAGAAGCGCACTGCGTACTCAATTCAACCCAGAGAGCATACGGTGGAACCGGTGAACCATTCGAATCTCTTTTCGAATGGGGCAGAGGGCTCGTAGTACCTACCACACTTCGCACCAGAGTCCAGTTCTACTTATGGTGTGAGTAGGTGATGTTCTCCTTTGCTCCGGGTCGTATGAAGGGGCTGCGTGGTTGTTGCTTCGCTGCCCTTCCGCTTGCCTCGTGGTGTTGCGTCGATGGTGTTGCGTCACTGCTTGACCGCCCTCTCGCTTGTCCTGTCTGCAGCCTCACTGCCTGGCTGCCCATCCCTCTCTGTGCCTGGCTGCCCCGTTGCCTTCGAGATTTGTTGCCTTGCTGCCTTGCTGCACTATTGCCTACTTCTCACTGTACTTCCCTGCTGCTTTCCTTGTGGTTTCGCTGCCCCCACCTGCCTCCCTGGTGCCCTCCGGTTTATGTGCATTGTCGTTGTTTGCCGTCCTGTGCCTTGTTGTCTTGCCCTTGCCTTTCTGCTTTTCTTTGTCACCGGCCTGCAAGTTAGCTCTGAGGTAACTTTTCCGACAACTCTAGCTTCAAGTCCTGAGAGACAGTTAGCTCTGTGGTAAATTTCCGGTGCCCTGTGGTAACTTTTTCGACAACTCTAGCTTCAAGTCCTGAGACACAGTTAGCTCTGTGGTAACTTTTCCGGCGCCCTGTGGTAACTTTTCCGACAACTCTAGCTTCAAGCCCTGAGACACTAAGGATCAATAGGCCATTCTCGCACAGTTTTTTTTTTTTTTTTATATTAAAACGATCAGAGATTCAGAACATGTACTGGAAATCAATTTCAAATGAGCTTAAAAAAAAAAACAAAAAAAAAAACAGATGAGCTTCTGCCCTGTTGCTTCGCACGAGATTTCTGTTCTCGTTGAGCTCACCTTGGGACACCTGCTGCATGATCTTCTAATAACAGATGTGCCGCTGTGCAGTCACAACAGGGGATAGAGCAGTTCATGGCTCAAAGCGTCGATACGGAGATTCTCAAGACAACCGTCGAGGGTTTAGCCTAAACGAGAGTCCAGCATAAATAGTTATGCGATCTTGTTTTTGGTGACGTTTTACACATTCCGTCTGATTTATACATTTTTTTTTTAAAGAATCTGTGTTGAGGACATTTGGATCTCATGCTAAAAAGTGCAATAGCTGGGAAGAGTTGGAATGCATCTCTGGGAGCTCATGTCGAGTCTGTTCCCTGGGACAAAACATGTCTTCGTTGTGGAGCCTCGCTGCTGACGATGTGTATATCACACACACACACACAACCGCACACCAAGAGAACAAAAGGGCAAAAAAAAAAAAAAAAAAGCCTGCCTATCAAAGCCATGTAAACATCAATGACTATACTGATAGGAGTTTGACAGCCGTTGCGAGAACTTGTGTCACATGGAGTTCGTTCCTAGGAAAGAGGCGGGAAAGCGGAGGAACACAAGACCTTTCACAAAAACATCGCGAACAAACTACCCAGGAGCAGGGGGTTGTTAGCGAGAAAGAAAAAAAACATCCAAGAGTTTAAGGATGTGAAGTGCTCAAAGAAAAAACATACCAACACAAAGAACATGAGCAGTGATACACACACACAGCCTCCTTCCACTGCCACCTACTTGTCAAAAACACCACATGGCCACTGCACCATCCGGCACAGCAGTGACACTTGCCATGTGTTGTATTTGGGGATTGACTGAGGACAGCACACACAGTACATTGTTCCATGTGCAGCCACGTGGGGTGTCGAGTCCAGCACATGCCACACGGTATGCAGTCCGATTTACAGCCAGCCACGTGGGAGCCCTCTGCTTCTTTACGTTTCTGTGAACATGGACAATGACAGACTGCAAAAAAAAAAAAAAAAAAAAAAAAAAAAAAAAAAAAAAAAAAAAAAAAAACAATGACAGACTGCCATAAGTGAAGTTCAACAGCAATGCAGGCAGAGTACCTCAAGTGCATTTCCCAGTATAGCGTGGAGGGAGGAGGGGCACATTTCGCGAATTCGAGACGATTCGAATTTCGAGAAGGGAAAAAAAAAAAAAAAAAAAGTCTTGGATTTCCCATCAGATCAGGAGTACAGGGAACACTCACTCTGCTGTGTTTGATATTCTGTTTGTTTAGCTTGGCCAGGAGAGAGAGGAGGGAGGTCTGCGATCATCTCGATTGAGCACCGCAAACGCAAACAGTTCTAGCACACAGATGAACTGTCCCTCTCTCTTTGGGAAATTCTCTGGCACATTGGTGGGAAATTCTCTGGCACATTGATCAAAAAGCAAGCGAAGAAAGAAAAAAAAACTCTTCCTGAGCGGGGTTCCTTCGGGACATCCGTTAAAATTGGAACGATTCAGGGAACGATTCAGAGAAGGAAGATTARMATGSCCCCCCCCCCCCCCCYSCMCMCSSMTGACACACATAAATCGAGAAATGATCCATTTTTTTTCTTCGAAAAACAGAACTCTTCCTGAGGAGGAGCAGGTGGTTTACTCCCACCGGAGGAAGAGAGACAGCAAACACCACCCACCATAAAAAATACAATAAGTGGTGTTCTGTACCGTAGCATAGGCTGTCCACCTTCTAGGCTTCTAGCAGGCTTCTAGTAGGCTTCTAGTAGGCTTCTAGTGAATTTCTACAGAGTTTGTGAGATGCAGCAGCAACTGCACCACTCCTACTTAATCGCTTCACGGGTCTGTCCTTCCTAACTCACTCCATAGTTACACAGCCAATCACTTTACGAATCACTTTGTATTAATCATCGACCCGTCACACCATACCTACCCTACATGAAGAAAATCACTTCAAGTTGAACAAGTTGGTGGCCTTGCTCTCATCTCAATGCATCATCTATCTGCGATGCTGTGAGTGAAGAAAATAGGGAAAGAAGAACAAGTTGAATGAACATGAAGCTCAAAAAGAGCGCAGATCCAAGACGAATTTAAATAATGGCTATCATCACCCAGCACCATCATCATCATCTGCCCTGACACCGCTGACTGGGAAAGTGCATTTATTTTCTTTAAATGAGTTAAATAATGGAAAAGGGAAAAAAGATAAATAACTCCTCGGTCCATCCATTGGCCTCTTTCGTCCCTCTATTGGCCACCTTGGTGCTACTGCCCCTTTCACCGGCCCTGTCTAGCCTTGAGCAACTCCTCCATGTCGGCAACTCCCCCAACTTCAGCCAGCTCCTGCAACCAGATCGCATAGAAAACTCAGAACGCGTTAAAAAGTCAACAGGTAGGTGTCCTTGTCTGTTAATAATGCACACTTTCATTTGACAGATTGATTGCTGGAGGGAGACATGGAGGGCGCAAAGGGAGCCAAGCAAGGAAGGAAGGAACTAGGGAAGCTTAGGAAGGAAGGAAGGAAAGGGAAGAGAAGGGAAGGAACTAGGGAAGCTTAGGAAGGAAGGAAGGAAAGGGAAGGGAAGGGAAGGGAAGGGAAGGAAGGAAGGAAGGAGGAAGGAAGGAAGGAAGGAGGGAGGGAGGAAGGAAGGAAGGAAGGAAAGGGAAGGGAAGGGAAGGGAAGGGAAGGAAGGAAGGAAGGAGGAAGGAAGGAAGG